TTTTGTGATAAAACCACGGATGGGAAATTTTACAATGAAATCCCAGTGTGCAAGACAGGTTACAATACCGACAAATGTCGGTATTGTTACCTGTTTGCACAACTTGTCAGGACGCAAAAACATGGTATCTTGATTCAGAGGCATCTCATGCCTTCCGATTCTACAACTAGCCCTCAATTTGGAAAAGGGCCCACTTCCAATGGGGAATCCCCCCTACCGTGACTATGCCTCGTCTGCTTTCACGTCTCTCTTCACTGACCGCCTTATAGCGCCGTCTCCTTACCTGTGCATCATCCTAAAACACCTCCCTGACTTATATTCAGCCCTTACCAACCTCCCCAATGCATTACTTTCATCGGCTGCTTCCCCCCTCTCTTCAAAGAGCCCGTATCCCCCATCCCAAAACCCAATAAAAGACCCTCTGACCCAAAAATACGCCCCTCGTACTCGAAGTCTGGGAAAGATCTTGAAAAAAATCAAAATCAAGACTAGTAGCATGTTGAAACAAACTCCCTTTTTTAAAAATGGCCAATTTGGCTTCAGATCAAACCGTTCCCCTCGGCACTGAAATTTAATTTAATCATCCAATAACAAAAACCAAAGGGAATAAGCAGCCCTGTAGCAAAAAATGTGAGAAAAACTTTGACAAGTGTGGCACAACGGCTTAAAGTTTTTGTATGTTCTAAAATTTGACCCCCTCGGACTATCAGCAAACTACTCGTAACTTCTGACGAAGGACCATTTAGGATTAAGTTCCGGTGCTTCTCTCAGTACTTCCACTACAGGTGGGGTTCCCCAGGGTTTAGTCCTTTCACCCACCCTTCTCCCTACCCAAGACATCCCGGCCTGCCCTTTTACTCCCACAAAAACACTTGATATGCAGATGACATCACCCAACTCAAACCCCCAAGACAAAAAACACTCTAGCCGCGAACAAAACCCAAGTAGACCGTTTCACCGGGGGCAAAAAAAGGAGAAAAAAAACCAACTCTGCAAAATCCAAAATCACCTACTTCCACTACAGGAAACGCGAACCTCCTCCTCCAGTAATACTCAGGATAGCTGATACCCCACCAAAACATCCCTGTCTCACAGACAACCAACGTATTAGGAGTTAATCTAGACTACAACATGCGAATACACAAACACATCAACCAGAAGCAAGCCATTGCATCCAAGGCCCTGTCGGGGCTGTCCAAGCCTCCAAAAAAACGAAACTACATCTATACAAAGCCCTCATCCGTCCACTAATAACTTACTGCCCACTAGCCCTCTCCCTAGCAGCTGTGACAAACAGACGTAAACTACAACGCATCCAGAACAAAGCCTTACGCTGGGTGCTCAACACCCGATGGGATGAATTCATCACAAGTGAGTCCATCCACGCCCGTGCGAACATCCCTGCTCTAAACGTGTACTGGAAACAGCTTAGCGACAAACAAATAGACAGACTAGAGACCCGACATGACTACTGGACCTCATACCTAGACGACGAAATACGCAGGCCAGCAAACACACACAACCTCTTCTACTCGTTACTAGCTCCTGACCCAGTTCCCATATACAAATAACCTTGCTAAAATCTTGACTCACTAACCTGTAACTCACAGGTATGGACCTTTAATAAAGCCCTTGTACCATGCGATTCACGCTTTGTCGCCCTCCTCCCCCTTCCCCCTACCAGTCCCTTAGTTGCGCACGAACTCCTGAATCGCCTTCAGCTCAGCTACTGGGTTAAGCCCTGGTTCTTTCCCTATTACAATAACCCTTCCTCTAACCAACCTATTCTTCCTCTATCCCCACTTCCCCACTCACCCCTTCTTGGGGTCTTACCTAGAATCTATAGATAGATAGACCTGTGCTTCAGAATCTCTACAACCACGGTGTTGTAAACACCACCTCCAAGGCTGAGGGACTGATTACCTCATCTTTTGTATATAGTTCTTCTGTTTTCTAATTATGTCCAAGAATTTGTATTGACAAAGCCACTGGATGGCGAAACGTTTACAATAAAAATAACCAGATGTTGCACAAGTGTCTTAACTTTCATCAAGATACCCAGATGTTGCACATGTGTCTAATTCTTCATCCTGGGCCAGTAAACCTGCTGCAGTGGTTCTGCTCATGTTCTTATGATCTGTATGGACTTAGCACTTTCCCAAGAATATAATACTAATATCGAGGAGAGACGCTCGAGTCTCAAAGTGGTTGTGTATATCGTAAAAGTTTCGGCGAAATTACATCGATTTATGGACAATATCAAATTACCACAAGACACCAATAAATATCCATCGGAGCTTCCCAACAACCATCCATACCAATGAGATACTTCTAGGGAGGTGCTTAGACGGTGGTGAAGGGCTCTTGATCCAGAGATTTGGACCGAATCTCCACTTCCATGGATCAGATCTGATCACTTCCCATTTCCCAAGCTTCCCCTTAAATATAATAATATATCAACGGGAATCAGAGAAATCGAGTGTTCTTGAAGGTAATTGGAAATAATGTACTTATACAGCTTAGCCTTGGTCGAAAAGTTGTATTAAAAGGATTCTCCTCTACCAGTGGACATTTCCACATGTCGACTTTTGCCATTAACTACCTGAAGGTAAGTGGTAATTTATTTACCCATTGAGCTCTTGGGTTATTCATTATTATTATAATCAAGGGGGAGGTGCTAAACCCGTAGGATAATGCAGCGCCTGTGGGGGGGATGGAAGGTATTCAGGGTTAATTCAGGGAACTAGAGCACAGATCCAGTTCCCTAGATCAAGAGCCCCTCACCAGCATCTTGGGTTATTCAAACTATTAATCTAGTCAAGTGTTACGTGGTAGGCAGTCTTACCAACATGCTAAGAATAATCTTTCGCAATTTGTAGGTCTTTTATGCATACTTGATACAAATTTATGGTAAATATTGAGTTTAGAGCTTCATTGAATTTCGCGAAAATTTATAACAAAGTACGTAATTTTGATTGGTTGTACTATAGAGGTAAATATATTTTTTGCAAATTGGGGGAAAAAACAGTTATTTTGAGTATTTTTTGTTTTTGTCTCGAGAAGGAATATTTAAAGTCCTACAATTAACAATTGTAGGACTTAAATTGCAATCATCCTAACCCAACCCAATATACGCTTAAGAAACATTGCTCGTGTGTTGGAAGTATTAGAACTATTTACTGGGCCGGTGAGTCACGAACGCTGATTTATCCAACCTATATTTTACCTGATATATTCTACCTTCCATAAAAAATTATTTTGCCCTTAATATTCCCCCAACAATATTTGCACAAGAAATAGCTTATTTTTTTTACCAGTCTATGAATAGGCTGCTTGTGTTATAGAAATGAAAATCAAGGGGCAATTCGTTCGAGCCCCTAAACTCAATATTAGCCAAATTTGTCGCTATATTTTAGTACAAATGGTACAAGTAGGTATAATGTTTGTCAGGAAACAGGACAAGTGCTTCCCTTCATTCATTAGAGGTTTGCCGGTACTTCCGGCCCGGGTCTTCTCCATATGGTGACCCGGCTAAGTGCTTCCCGATGCGGGTCTTAGTCATATGATGACCCACAACTGGAGCTTTTAGTCATCTGACCGAGGACTTCCGTTGGCTTACCGGTCCACCTTTTTAAAAATCATGGTTACGATTATAACCATTAGGATGGTTCAAAGCTAACAGTACGGGTTCATACGTCCTGGATTTTTCAAAGGGATGCCCGAGGACATCTCTGAAGAGGGGACCCCAAGGATGACTAGGTCCGCTGTAGAGTAAGCACATTTATTTGTAGTTTAATTACCCACAAAACATTCCTTTTTATATCGTGTTGAAATTGACAAATTTATAATAGTTTCCTGTTGGTGAAAATATACATAAAAACAATTTACTTTATTTCTTAACAAATGTTAGAATTTATTTCATCACTATAAATTTATATTATTTAAAATAGTTTTATATGATATTGATGTGATTTAAGGTATGTTATCCACATTATACATCTTAGTGCGGTATTGTCTTTGCACTATCTTGATTTTCTGAGTGTTACTGCATAAATATTTTCACAAGAGTTTGATTGGGTTATGTTCCAGCTCCCAAGTCTTGATGGTGTTGATTTCCAAGTCACGTATGCCTCTAGGTCTATTGAGGGATATGAGTTACAGGTTTTCTGGATCATGAGAGTATACTGTGCAGGCCTCTTTCATGGGTAGATTCATTGGGTCTGGGGTTATATGATACTGGGATATCTCTCTGACCACGGAGCAACTGAAATAGTCTAGTTGGAAGATTGAAGGATCAAGTAGGACGTACAGAGTACTAAAAAAAGAAACACTGATATAGTTTAAAAGGAATAGAAAGTTTGAGTTAAAGGGATGAGAACAATAGGGCATGGAAGCCGAAGAAACCACAGCTTTAAAATGACCTGACGTAGGATTACAGCTCTTAACTTGTTAATTCAACTATGTAAAAAATATTTAGGAAATAATACCTCTTTTAAGTGTAGCAAGAGTAAAACGAGGCTAATGACCCGGGAGAAGGAAGCACAGCATGCCTCTGTGTCAACCACACTTGCTTGATCATCGTCTCTCAGTCCTATTTCAGCTGTGTGATCTCTAATGTGGGCGCTGTTTCAGCAGCACAGGCAGAATAATGGGCGTGAGGGATGGCCTAACACTAGGTAGGGGCGTCACACATCACAACACCTCCACAGGACCACGCCCGCCACACCCACACTTACCTGCTTAGAGTCCTCCGTCTCTCCTCGCTTTCCTGTTAACCTCATTTCACTCTCATCGCCATTTAGTATATTACAGACCAATAATCACTTTTCCTGCTTAATTATACAAAGTTTCTTCGCAACATCGATAATTCCCACGGGGTCAGTTTTTGGCGGGAGGGTGTGTGATTGGCTGGCTGCGAGAGCCAATAGACGGGGCGAAAGAGGCACAGGAGAGCCTGAAAGTTTGTGTTGCAGGAGTGATGGTTCAGTGTAGCAGTCGGCAGTGTGTGTGCAGGGTGTGGCGGCGGCCACTGTGCGTGTGTGTGGCAAGCTCACCCACTTATCTACCTAACACAGGGATATACTTGTGCATCATGTCTCCGGTTTTAAGTTAGCACCGCTGGGTACCCGAAGTTGCCCGTGATCTGCTCGAATCTGGAAAAACGCCGCAACGTCTAGATATATATACATTATAATTATATTATATATGTATATAGTCAACAAGTGAGTACTATTTTTTATAATAAGAATTTCGTAACACTGTTGTTACTAATAATATCGTACATCTAAGTGTGCTGAGGTATGGAATTCACATAACTTTTTCTTTTGTAATTAACCTTGTTACATAAACAACAACGGGTTAATTATACCTGTACAGTGAGGGTGAGGGGAGGTGAGTGAGAGGTGTTGGGGAGGGGAGAGGAAGTGAGGGGAGGTATTGTGGGGTGTAGTCGAAAAGGTGTATCCAGATGTGGTTATATTTACGGGGAAGTGCTAAACCAGTAAGGATTATACAGCATCCTGGAAGTGGCAGGTAATCAGGTATGATCCGAGGAAGGGGAGGAATGATCCAGTTCCTTGGATCAAGAACGCTTCACTTACATCAAGGCACCCTCGAATTTAGGTGTTCAGGCATGATCTGATGGAGATGAATGGTCCAATTCCTTGGATGAGGTACACTTCACTAACATTAGGGCACTCTTCTTCAGTTATGTTATATTGAAGGAGAAGAGCTAAACCCATCTTTTGTGTTTTTAAGGAAGGTATAGAAATAATAGGGGAAAATTGGGATATCTGGCAGGAATTTTATGTAATAGTCTTACCGTACGTCATTTTGATTAGTTACCTGGACATGATGAAAGCAGTCCGTAAATTATTAATTTATTTAGTATTCAACCACATAACGCAATATTAGGTAGGTTTTAAGCTTATTGCCTGCACGAGGGTCATCAAAGTTGCAATTCACTTGTGCACTGATATCAGGAATAATGCACTAACTTCAGGAATATTTTAATGTCTAATATAAGGATTCAACTCAGTATATATACAGAGATATGTACCTTTAAGAATATAGCCATGGATATACACCTTTCAGTATATAGACAACGATAGATATATCTCAGTGCATATACTCTGATATAGACGTCTGAGTGTAAATACACATGGGAACAATTCCGCAAAATCAGTTACATTAGCTTGTAGCCTATCTAAATCTTAATTGTATACGATTGCGGTGCTCTTAGATGACTGGTGTCAATCTCGCCATCTTAAATTTATGTAATTTTGTTGAAGTACGTTTTGCATTATTGTAGACAGCCCAGAGTTACAATCAATTTCTTGAAGATCTTTTTTAATAACGTATTTCTGTCATGGATTCAAAGGCCACTGTAAGATAGAACTCATGTAAAATGGGTTCTGACTTCGTGATTAATGTTTTTTTTTCCCCGGACGCTATCATTTATGAATTTACCTGTGTTTGGCTTCAGACGGAAGCACGTTTTAGAGATTAGAACAAAAGAGGAATGGGGAATCACTTAACAAGTAAAGGTGAACAATTTGGTCGTATGTATACGTTAGAATTCAAGATGTACATGTACATCAGCTTGGAGTGTAGAAGCCCAGTTGTTTAAGCTGGTCCCATTCTCAGCATAAAACAGCTGAGTTAGTAGAGACAGCCATGAGGGCTTATAGGTTGAAAGAATGTTTTATTGACTAGAATATATTTTTTTAACGCTTCGGTCGTCTCTCACCAAGGCAGGACAACTCAAAAATGAGGAAACACGTTCACCGTCGTTCATTCAATTTCTATCTTGCCAGAAGCGTGCAGACATCACAGTTCAGATGGCCTGGGAACTACTACAGACTCACCCATCGTTTCGAGTGCAAGCACTGTACTTTTTACCTCCAGGACTCCAGTCCGACTATCCGGTTTTCCTGAATTGTTTCATAAATATTACTTTGCTTACTAGAATATGTGGGAGGGAATATTCCGTTGATTAGAGTATGTGAGAGGAAATATTTTGCGGACTAGAATATGCAGGAGGGAATGTAATATATCTGAAGTATTATTGTGCTGGTTAGAATATGTGGAAGGAAATGTTCTATTTGTGAGGGAAGATTTTGCTGATTAAAATATTTGGAAAGGAAGTGTCTGTTGACTAGAATAAATGGGAGGGAGTGTTCTGTCGACTAGATTGTTTGGCAGGGATTCCTGCGTTACTTAAAATTCCTCAGGAAACGGATCGTGTTTCCTGACGCGGGACTTAGTCAGATAACCCGCTACTGGGGCTTTTGGTCATCAGACTGAGACCTTCCGCTGGCCTACCGGTCAAGCCCTTTAAAAATTAGGGTTAAAATTATAACGACATTTTTGGAATGTTAGTTTATCCTTCGTTGATATGCGTATATCATTTTCAATGAAGAGAATAATTAGTGTATAGAATGACCAGTCTATATTGAATGTCTAACATCACACAACTTAAACCTTGACGGCAAAGCTCAGGTGTGATCTGTTTAATTTTTTTTTTTAGGAGTAAAGCTGGGATAGTGACTTTAAAAGTACTAATCCCCAGGGTGCAAGAATACGATATTGGCTTCTCAGGAAAGATTGTAAATCAGGTTTATCGTGAGTTCAACTGCAGTTTTTTTTTTTTCCATTCCAAGGAGTGTTCCCCTTAGAAAAGACAGTAGGAAGGGGCTTTAGTAGAATTGTTATGGTGGGTTTCCACTATTATTATTATTATTATTATTATTATGGAAAAGCTCTAAACCCGAAAGGGTCATACAGCGCATGGGAAATTAAAGGTAATCAGGTTTTATTCGCGGAAGTGGAGGATAGCTCCAGTTCCTTAGATCAAGGACCCTTCACTAGCATCAAGCCCCTCTTTCCCGTTCCTTGAAGGGAGAGTTTGCACGAGCAAACTCTGGCAGTAATTTCAGTGACAAGCTCTTATTGTGAGAATATTAGTTTTTTCCCCATATTAAATCTTGGTGCTACATGACATCATGTGATCCTCATGGCTTCATTGTGCATTTTTCAAACTTCTCAAACATTATTTCAGGCACTAAGGCAGGCAGGGGTATGACATGATCATTTAGGGTTCTAATGCATGCAAATGTCATTATTTTTTATGTAATTCCAGCATTTTACCATAATTTGGGTGAAACCGTGCCACTTCCCTGGGTGTTCTGACCTCCTTCATGACGATAGTCTGGATGCAGTAGGTCCATATAATAGTGTTAAGTTCTTGAATCTGTTCAGAATTATCTTATAAATTTTAATTGAAAACTAAATGAAGTTTCGGTGTTTAATTGTTAAGCTGAAATTCAATTTATTATAGCAGCTTCTCAGACTCTGGGCTGGGAAGGCACAAACTGATTTTAATAAAATAGAAAAACGTGTTCTTAATTGAAATTTAATAGACCCAGAGTTTGACACGAATTTACATAGCACATGACGAAGAAAATTTTAACTTATAAAAGTTCCCCAGTGGTATGACTTATGATTCCATCAGTCAAGACGAGTGTGATTTTTTGGTCAGGATTTTAAATAACATTAATTGGAACGATAAATAAGGTAGGCTTGAGGACACCTTTGTAGGGTCTTGTTTCAAAATGTTAAACTACCTCTGAAACAATACAGATGAATTCCTGTTGGATACGTAACCAATGGATTTATAACTGAATTTAATTTATTTGTATTATGAACTAGTGGATGCAAGTATTGTAATAAGCCTGTGGTGGAATCACTTAATTGAAGAATATCTATGGATAATGGATATACCTTAACAGGTTTGACCTTATTCTTTTAGCTCATATATCCAGAGGATTGCTTGAGATAACCTCTGAATTGACCTGGAACTTCAAACACTTATGAATGGTCATAAAAGGAAGTTTATTATTGAAATTGGTCAGTGTTACCCTCAAGTTGCCGGGTTGTTTGTTTATTTGATATTTTCTCTGCGGTGTTGGGAGGGGATGAAGGGCTTCATCTCTGAGCAAGGCTGGGATAACAAATGGGTGGAATTTCACTAAACTGGCTACATTCTTCCCCCATTACCTGGTAATGCGCTTGAATAGCCTGTTTAAATGTTTGACCCCAACGGATTTAGCCCTATTCAGTGACTATAATAATAAATTCCATAAAATTTGCTAAATAAAATTAGAGTTCTTTAAAATAAAGATGCTCCTTAATATTTTTGTTAATGATCTTGTATTAAAAAGTTGCATTGTGGGTAAGGATGGTTTTGTAAGTAGCGTTCATATATTACTCTGTTCTGACGTTTATTTGTCTGTATCCTTGATTCGCCGGTACTCTTCCGGCCCGGGTCTTTTCCAGATGGTGACCCGACCTGTCTGTGTCCTTTAGAGGGCTAGTCTAAGGGTAATGACTGGCTGTTTCTAGGTCATTCTCCTAGACTTTCTATGAGATTTTCTGTCCTCTAGGTAGGAATCCTGTCTCGGTCCCCTTCAGGGCAAAACAGGTGCCTTAAAGCATGTTAAGGTGGACCTTGATCCTCTTAAAATGGATAACTCTTGCGGCATTGGCTCTTCCCGATGAATGTAACAATAATATCTGATCTCATTCCTGCCCTAGTTTTATTACCTTTTATTTCAGTGTTTCCTTGTATTATTTTTCTTTTATTTGACCATTCTTGTACTGTTAAGGATCTACAAACATCTGCCATACTCCGTTGGTGTGGATTATTTTATTTATGAGGAAACGCTAAAACCGTACGGTCATACAATCCCTGGAGAATGAGAGGTAATCAGGTTTGAGCCAAGGATGAGGATGGCACCTCCAGTTCCTTGAATCAAGAGCCCTTCACCACACTCAAGGCACTTTTCATCAAGAATTATTTATGTAATTGCTTATTTTTAGTGTTATTTTCTTAATGGACTCATGGCGTCCCGTTTTTATATCATAAAAACTGTAACATTTATCATGATTATTTTTAAACTTTGCAGTTGTGATTGCACACATAAACTCCTGGAGCTAATTATACTAATTTATTACTCTGTTGGTAAAGATATCATTGGTTTTATTAGTCTGTTAGTAAAGACATGTTCGTTAATTAAGAAACCTATTGCCTGCATGTGGGTCACATAAGCTGTACACTAATATTTAAAATTTTAATATCAATGATATGTTAATTTTGTGAAATTCATCCACATTTTCGTAGAGTTATAGCGCAAAAATAAATACACCCTCGGTGTATATTCTG